TAATCTTTTTTAAATGTAAGTATTTTCTTGATATATTTGTTTCATTTTATAGATGTAAGTATTTTTTTAATTTAAAAAATATTTAAGAAATTAATCGTTTAAAATATGAAAATCCATTGGTTTTTTTCCAGACTTTTTTCATTATTTTACAACATTAATCAGTTTTATAGGTTGTAAAAATGTATCTAACAAGTCTTAAAAAGTCCAAGAAGTTAGTTAACAAGTTTTAAAATGTTTAAAGACATATTTGTTTTAAAATATTGTTCAATGAATGTATTGAGTTTTTTCTTAAATTATTTTATGGGAATTTAGTGAAGGCATAATAAATAGCATCCACAATGGTTACTTCGTTTCTTCATGAATGATTTAATCCATGAATATGTTTTTATTTATTTTTTAAACAAGAACCTAACTACTTTCTTATTAACATGTTTTTTTTTACCTTTTCCACTTAGTTTATTTTGTTTTACTTCAATAAATTTACCAAAAAAAAAAAAGATTTAGTAAATATATAAGTTAAAGTTAATATAAAAATGTTTATAAAATCACAAATAATATAACACCTTTAAAAGTGACGAAGACATTTGTTAAAAAGAGTGATGTTAATGATCAATAGACTTATCAAGTAAATGAGTGTGACGATTTTTACGTGGTAAAAGTTTACAGACAAAATTGTTGTATATGATGTTATTTTGATGGATTAGAATTTGACGGACGTGAACGAAAAAATATGGACTTAATGTTTGCAGGGTAAGCAATCGGGTAAAAAGCCCCTTGATCAGAAGGGAAGCAACCGATTTCAGTTTGAACAAACACACATCAAACAAAACCTACCTAATTGTTGTTGTTCGATCTTGATCATCATCATTCAAATCCAAATTACAAACCAGATTACTAACAAAACATGATCCATCACATTACATCACATGATCAGTTGTTAATTTCTTCTCTCTAAATCAACTCGATTTCTTAGTAGTCATGAGATCAACAAGCTTGTTCTTCATCTTGCCATTACCATTTGGAGACGACAACTTGAACTCTCCTCCTCCAATCCCAGGGTAATATCTCTTGATCACCTTCTCCCTCACAAACTTATCGTAGATGAAAGCAGCTCCCCTGAACTGCGGCAGGACCAGCCATGCCACCGCTATCAGTTTCACATCATACCATATCGGAACCCTACCATCACCAACACAAAAGCAACAATTTCATCATTTCACCACAAAAATCAATGTTTTCAAAAAAAAAAAATCAATGAAATTACCATTCAAGGAGAGGTGCAAGAAGCATCTCCATTAGAGTGAGGAATGAATATAAGATCCAGTAAGAAAGCCACTGTTGATCGTCTTGTTTTGATGAGCTCTCAATGGCAACCACCGATGCATAAAGCGGGTACAACAACATCGTTACAGGTCTGCAATTCCATTAATTACTTCATATATATATATATATATACACAAGAAGAAAGATGGAAGCGAATGAATGTGAAGAAATTCGAGAGCTTACCCGGCTAATTGATGGAGACCAGACATCAAGGTCCAGAAGCGATTCATTTTTGAATGTGAAGAAATCAGAAATGTGAAGAAAGTTGGATGAAAGGGGGTTTTGGGGGAAGAAGGTATTAGGTATAGATGGACCTCAGGAGTAGCATGAGGCCATATATAGGAAGGGAATAGGATTATGACATGTGTCGACGGATGATGGAGGTTTGGGCATCGGAAAACAGATGTTTGACGTGTCGGAAATCTAATGGACGGGTGTGTTGGCCGACTCAAAGATACTGGTTCTTTTGCTTTTTCTTTACAAGTGGGATGTGGACAGCATACCCCTCCTCTCCAATACTTGCTATTTCTTGTCATACTCGTTATTATAAAAACTATTAACCGAAAGTACACAAAATCTTAACCAAGTAATACATATCGAGTAATTAAGTCTTTAAATTATTTTTTTAAGCAATTATATACTTAAAAAATTTAAAATTGAAGAAATAGGTTTTTAAATTTATTAAAATTGAGAAAAACTCAATAAACTTTAGTGTTTTAAATAAGTGTGGCAAAAAATGACTAAATCAGCTAATTTAATCCAGAATTAGCAGGTTGGGTTGAGATTTTCAACTCATTTAGATAAATTGATCAATCTGCCTAATCAATTTAAATAAATGAACTGGGTTGGGTTAGATTTTTCGACTTGTTTTCAACATGTTTCCTACTAATTTAAAATATTTTATAATTTTATTTTATTCTTAATATTATATCTAGTATTCTAATTTTTAATTAAAAATCTTATCGTCGTGAGATGAAAGTCTAAATTTCAATCGCCTCCATTACTCTTGATCATCATGAAACTCTAAGAAAACTCTTTAGTCCATTACTCCATTGTCGTCTTCAAAGTCCAATCCAACTTTTCAGGTCTGTTGTTCGCCTCTCACCCTCTTGATCTCTCGATCTCGGCTCTCTCTCCGTGTAACGTTTTTCTTCCTCTCGGTTTTCTCTCCGTCAAGCGTCCAACATTAGTGACTCAACAGGCTCTCCGAGTCTCAGTCGGACATCTGTCTCCACTCTCCAGCCTCTCTAGTCCTTTTTTATTTAAAATTTTAAAATTAAATGGGTCAACCCATGTTAAACTCATTTATTTAACAAGTTTAGTTAAGAAAATCGTAAACAAGTCAACTAGATGTCAACTCATTTCGGTAATAGGTTGAGTTGGGTTGAAAAATCTCAACTCATCTATACTATATTATAAAGCATTTGACAAAAACTCTTAAAAATTACTTTTTATGCATGAAGTACTGTTTATTGATGCATATTACTTAAAATTCAAGATTACAAGTAGATTGTGCTTAAGTACAAATTATTAAAGCTCTATATTTGAATTCTTGTAACTAACTGCAGATAAACATAATCAAATACATGATAAACATCTC